AAAGTGGAGCACATACAGCTATGTTGTGACTGTCGTTGACTTAAAACAACAGTCTTAAAACAGATGCAAATTGCCTTCAATTGCCACCAACATGAGTGCCCAGAACCTGGAATGCATCCATTGTTGGAGGGCTGTATGAACCAGTACGAGCTCAATGAGGTCCAGTCTTATCCCGCCTGTGTCAGCAGACAAGGAAACTCAAAACCAAGTGTCAGTGTCTCAGACTCTTGACTCACTGAGACCTCTCACTGCACTACATCTATTGCTGACCATGATATTAGCCTGGGGACATGCTCCACACACTATTGCACACACTGTCCTGCACGCACACACTGCCCACAGCCAGGCTCGGATAAGCTGGTAATCTTGTGAGAGCAGCGGGGTATCAGAATATCACAACATGGTGAATCATGCATGTACACAGCAATGACCACAGCTCGGAGGGACGTCTGACTGTGTGTGTGTGTGTGTGTGTGTGTGTGTGTGTGTGTGTGTGTGTGTTTGTGTGTGTGTGTGTGTGTGTGTGTGTTTGTTGTTGTTGTGTGTGAAGTCTGCTGACGTCGATAACAACTACAGGTGTCACTTCGGTGGATGATAGCCGGCTCTGCTGCTGGTCGGCCTGATTAGTCAGACACAGGTTGCTAAAGCTTCAGGAGTGAGGACCGTGCTCTCTCACACACATACACACACAAACACACACTGTGATGGCTCACTAACCCTGGATCCCTGCAGCCTCACATTCTGTCACTGTGAACACGCTCAGTGTGCGTGTTTCTTCTCCAGCAGAGTTTATCAGAATATTTCTCTGAGCAGTTTTTTACTGTTTTTTGTTGGTGCTAGTTATGAGGATGAGCTTCAAAGCTTTCTGACTTTTACACCTCAGTTTGTCCAAGAGATGTTATCCAAATCCAACCACACACTGCTCAGCATACTAGTAGTTCCTGCACTTTTGTAGCGACAGGTGGACAAAATGTTTGCTCAAACACATCACAGCAAGAGTTTGTTTATCTCTCTCTCTCTCTCACACGCACGCACGCACGCACGCACGCACACACACATTTTAAACAGGATCTGAAAATATATGGTTTTAAACTCTGAATTTACAGTTTCCAAGATGTAAAACCACAAACACTGCTCTCACACTGCTTGTTAAGAGTGATGTTAAAGTATGAAAAATTGTTAAACTGTTATTGTGTTAGATAGCAGACTGAGCAGGTGACATGTTGTATTTCTACCTGCTTTCTTTATGTTTTAATAATTTAATAGTTTAACATTCAAGAGCAGGGAGAAAAAGAGTGTTTAACAGCAAGTGAACCCTCATCGGGACTCAAATCCAGATATATGGCAGACTGTAGCACACCACTCAGTGATCAGTGACTTTCTTCTTAAAAAAAAAGCCCAGCATATTCGGGGTGCAGGATATTGGGCTTTAACACACCACAAATGATTTTAGCCAATAGCAGGATTTAAACATTTACAAAGGTTCTCCTGTAAGGCTCATTTCTCACCAGTTTTGACCACTCCTCCCTCAGTGGTAAAGGTTTGAGCTGTTCTCAGTGAACCATAATGTCATTTATCCTCTGGATTCATCCTTGGTTGTTTTAAAATGTTAAACTACAGACAGAAAAGTGTTGACGTATTACAGCACAGACTGATTATTCTTAAAAGGAAAGAAACAAACTGTATAAAATGGAAGAAAATGAATTAAAAAAAAAAAAAAAGCTCTACATCCATTTATCTGTTTACATGTCTCTCTTGCATAAATTTATTTCTCTAACCTTAGGCAAATAACTCATTATCATTTTTGAAAGGGCGGGTATATATTAATAAATAAATAAGTAAAAGGGTGTATTTTCAGTATGAAACAACACAAGATAACCTTTATCAGTGCGGAGGAGAGTTAAAATTATTGTTTAGTTTATGATAAAATCAAAATCCATTATTTAGTTTTTCTCCATTTACTGAGATACACCCACGACACTTTTCTGTTGTTTTCAAAGGTTTGGATTTGTTGTTTTATTTTGTAGAAGTTCACAGTGGACTGTTTAATGGAGGTCTGTTATTACAGCGTCTAAAAGCTGCAACATATCCGTGCCGTCAAACGCATTAAAGTGTTTTTCATACATGAAGAAAAGAAAAATGGGTTTATAATAGAGATTCCCTCCGCTGCATGTCTAATGACACCCTGAGCCGTTGATTTCACTTTGGACTCTCTCCCTCTCTTTGTGATGGTTATTATCTCTCCATCTGACCTTCCTTCAGTCCCTCTGCATCCCTCCCTCTCTATCTCCGTCTACCTGTCTCTGAACGAGGTCATAATAATATGAAGAGGTGCAGATATGAGTGCAGTGCATTGGCATTAGCATATGCTTTGAGGCAGATTATGTGTCTCCCTCTCTCTGGGCTCCTTTATTCAGTCTAAAGTCCAATCAGGTATGCGGAGGAGAGCCGATGAGGCTGGAGGAAAAGGTCAGGAAAGATGTCCACATGATATTAGCAAATGTTTTCTCAGTCCGTCGGGAGAGGCGTGAAGAAAGAGGAGGCTTCAGCTCGCTTTCTTCTGACCGGCTCATTGAAGTCAGAGTCCCCTGTGAAGGAAGCTCAAGGTTGAGATGGAAACAGCATTCAGTGACAGGGCTTATTGAGTTTTCCAGGAGTTATTTATCAGCAAAGATGCAATATTTAATACTTTCTCTGAGGGAAAATAAAAGTGAAGTTAAGGCAAATATTTGTGGGTTGGCTCTGGCCTTATTTTGCCCTCAGCTCTGCAGTGATGATGTAGTGGCTGAATGTGAGTGAAATGAAAGAAAACAGTAACTTGTGTTTGAACACTTACCACAAATGATCTTTGTTTGACCTTAGGAGCTAAAATGAAATCACCCACCGGTTAGCCATCCATACATCTATTTTCATTTATAGTGGGTTAGCTCAGTAAGTCTGCAAAGGTGCCTCTTACAGCTGGGCTGTTCAACAGGCGGCTGGTTTGGGTTGCAGGCAGACCTCAGGTGGTCCAAAGAGAATCAGTGCTCATGACTCTAGACACCAACAAATAAATGAAAAGCTCATTCTGTGCATGAAAGTTGCTTGCAAATGAGTCATTTTACATCATCCTTATCCTTGTTGAGAGTTGCAAAGATTTATGGAAGTAGTTTGTCCACAACATTCAGATTATGCTCAATATATTAGCTCTCAACAATGCCTTTGTCCAAAAACCAGAAACTGAGAGTTGAAGTCTGCCTGAACTGTGAAGTATTTAACTGTAAACACAACATCAGCCTGCCTCATTTTCACTGAACACATGCTGCACTTAAAGACTGTTCAGAGGCCTCACTCTGACAAATATCCAACTTTCCCAACTTTCTCACAGAACACAGGAGGGAGTTCAGAGCTTTTTCGCTTTGGCAGGTCGGGGGGATGTATGACATAGACATACATCAACCCGTACGACGTATGCCTATGTCATATGGGGTGACGTTAGATGAGCCAACGCTGTTTTCAGGGCTAGGAGAGATGCTTAAGCTAGCATCCACAAGAGAATGTGTGGCGTCTGCATCACTACGTACTGTCTTTTTGAAGAATGCAGATATTTCCAATTGAGGTGCTGAATGTTTGGGGACAGTTCGGTGCTTCATGAGCATTTTTTTTATTGTTTTGTTGGCTGCAAACATGATGGAGAGGAGCCAAATGTCAAAAACATCCTGCGCAAAACTGGCAGGGTATGAGCGGCAAGCACTCGCACGCCACGCCTCTGAACAACATGGCGCAGCATGTCAGCGCGCATGAATGTTGTGAGATAGAGAGTGGAGCGAGCGGCGAGCCCTGATCCATTTTTCTTGAAAGTAATGAAACTATTGCGAGCTTTGGAGTCTGAAATTGTGCAAATTATATTTTATAGGCTGTTTGGATAAAAATAAATATTTAACACATATATAAATCTACGACTTCAATTTCTGAGTTGGGACCTCGTTGGCAGGGCGGGGGTATCCGTTTGCAGGGCGGGGTGCCCTGCTTAATACACTATCGGTAAACACTGGAGTTTCCCTGCAGTTTAGGGACAAATGCGCACAATCCAGGTGAAGTCCTATACAGCCCAGCTGAGAGCCACAACCGTTTTTTTTTTTTTTTTTTTTTTTCTTGGAGGGTCATGGCTCTTGCAAAGAAGGAGTGTCCATTCACAGCCACTGAAATAACAAGGGAAGACAGGCCAGCTATTATGGATGAAATGAGCCTTAAGAAGAGGTGGGCTCAGCCAAACCAAAAAGTAATTCCCTGATTAGTTAGTCCATTAAATCTGTTTAAAATTAAGAGAGGCTGACATCAGTGTTTAAACCTGTTGTCTGTGATCTATCTAAACATTTAAGATCAGGGTTTAGATCCGTCTTCTCTCTCAGGTAAACTACCTCAGTGTAAATGCTCCTACTGATGGGAATTCAGCCTCTCTGTACTGATCCAGATCAATTATCTCAGCTAGAACTGGCCTCTTCCTGTTCCAAAGTCAATCCACAGAAACAAGGATGTTTGTGTTGCACATGTGAGGATCGTGTAGTTTCTTCTGAAAGGCACTCTTCAGGAGTATATTCTCAACAAGTATGGGGGACTTTTTTTCAGTCCCTAACAGGTGGTCTTAAAATCTTGAAAGCAATTCTTGGTGAGTTTTGCCTATCCTCGCTGCAAACCACGTTCACCACGAACAGAGTCAAACAGGGAGCCCAGCAAGTTGTGTTGTGTTTGAAACATACTTTAGGCCCTGAAGTGTATGCAAAAAGTTAATCTGTAATGGAGTCAGGTTTCTGCGATCAGTCTTTGATTTTCTAGACTGATATCCCTCCTCAGAAAGCGTTAAAATAAAAGGCCTGTGCTAGTATCTGCCTGCTGTGAGGATAAAGCCTCCTCTGCTATAGGGCTGTTTAGATTTGATGATCTCTTTATGTGCCAAATTAATTCCTAAAAAGAATATCTCGGGGCCATCCACTAAGGTTTGCTCTCATAATTAAGCAGCGCTTGCTAATACCGTCTCTGCTAAGCTGGAGGGCATCTTCTTTTAAGTCGGTCTGCGAGGGCTTCTCTCTCCCTCCCTCTCTTTCTCTTTGAATCAGGTGACAGGATGCTCCATCACTTGGCGTCAAACTCGATGACAGATGGAGATAACAGGAAGGTCAGTGACAGAGGGGGCTCCACGGTCACCCCGCCATTTGTACCCGTTAATGACCCGTGATGTTAAGTAGTGCCAAGGGATGATCCGACAGTCACGCTCCGTATCATCTGAGGACGGGGAACTCGCCCGAGCTCGACAGATAACTTTTTTCTATCTCGTCCGGGTTGTTGTCTCTCCTTTCAGATGACTGCTGGGAGGATTGTTCCTCCATTTATCACTTTGATGGCACCACGAGCCCCGATGACGGCACCGAGGGTCAGCAGATTCCTCCGAACTGCTGTGAGATTATCCCTGCAAAGACTCTTTTCATCATATTCCTGTGATTATCTTTACTGCAGGTACACAATTACCGGCTTATCTATATGCTCATTATGCAGTTAACTGCTGCTCCTGCTGGAAATCATTATGTCTCAGAGCCATTTAAGGATTCTGTTGCCAGTAATTGTAAACTGTAAACTGAAATTATTTTCCTCCATCATGTCGACATCGTAGTCAAATAACAAGAACATTTAATAGAATCATGGGCAATAGAGGAAACTGCTCTACAGGCTCTGCTGATACCATTTACATAACTTACACCACTTATATAAATGCCAGCATTTGGAGTAAAATAAGCAGCATGAATCACCTTTAGTCTCGTCTCTATCACTCTCCGTCTTTTTAATGAAGGGAACGCGGATAGTTTAGTCATCAGATGCAGTGCAGCATGGTGTAAGTGTTTGGATGTGTGTATTGTGTGTGTGTGTGTGTGTGTGTGTGTGTGTGTGTGTGTGTGTGTGTGTGTGTGTGTGTGTGTAATGAATCGGTGGAAAATGAGGAGAGGTGACGGCAGCTCTTCAGCTCTGCTGCTACAGCAGGGCGCCATTTACATGATGGAGCAACTGCTGATAAAGGAGCAGCAGCGTTTTGAATGAAGATGAAGGAGGAAGGGGGCTGGTGAGGTGGTGGGGAGGAGGCAGGGTTCCTGGATGGAGCCAGGTGATAGTCAATATTGGTCTACATATTCTGTATGTATTCATAATGCATACCGGTCACATGCACTGATACCACAGCCACGTTTCCTCCGAATGCATGCATCGTTTTCAGCTCTAATGTGGAGGTGAAGGCTGTCGGTGCAGAAAATGATTTATTTTCGAACAATCTTACGCACACAAAAACACTGACTGTGCATCTCTGACTAAAGAATTATGTAACTCTTTAGGCCTGGGTCACTTGTAGAAGCATAATTTGCTGCTTTTTATCTTTATTTGCAGCTGCTGTCTGCTTTTGTTTCTGCTTCGTATAATCTGTTTCTTCAGCAATTTTCATTTGTACTGTTGCACGTGTTTTTCACAAATTGTTTTCCAGTTGTTTTTCTTCAGGCTGATGCAAATCATTCGCCCGTGCAGGCCACCATACCCCACCATTGCTACACAACAAACACAAAAGAAATCATCTGTGTGAGTTCATTACATGTTTTGATACAGTTGTGTATTTTACAGGGACAAATGCGCAAAGTAGATGCCATGCATACAGGTTTCTAGTCATGACCATAGACTGTGTATACGATGGACTATGACGCTCGGCTCAAACAGCGTAACCCCCTAGTGAGCTACACAATCTTTGTACGCTGATAGGCTGAATCAAGTGTCAATCACAGAAAACAAGAACCCCTGAACCCCTCCATAGGGACTGCTGGAGGAGGCGGGATTTATGACCTATACTGCAGCCCATCACCAGAGGGTGCTGTTCTCGCGGTGGCTTCACCCAGCGAGGAGGCGGCCAGCGTCTATACTATATACAGTCTATGATCATGACTAATTTGCAATCCCCTGTCCCTGGTTAAGCATCCATAAATGAAAAAGGAAGATAGAATATTATAACCATTAAAAACATACAAAAAGATCAGTGTATGCAAAAAACAAAAACATAATGGCTTAAAGATTTGTGGAAAATCAGTGCAAAAAGTCTTAAGACATCAACTTTGTCAGCGCCTCACACTCCACAGTGAATATGTTCCCGTTCTAGTCACTGCTCCATGTTTCACTGCAGTGCATCTTAGCTCCTCACCAGAAGTGTCTCTACGCTCTGCTCCACTAAAGATACACGTAGAGTCTGTTTCCAATGGAGCATGCTCACAGCATGAGTCAAGCTGAACGGAGAAGATCGTCCTAACTTTGTCTGCAGGTAACAACACAACAAAGCAGAACATGATTGACTAACTAAACATGCGTAAACCTGCAAAACATGAAACTTTAAAAACAAATGCTAAAATCACAACAGTCACAGGATAAAATCCAAATGAGCAGGACATTAACCACTGAAGGGCAAAGCAACCTGATGTATATTGTTTTCTGTATACTGAGTATACTAAATTTCAGACTGAAAAGCTCCCCTGCTCGCCCCTCATGTCGGTAAGTATTGCAGCCATCAAGGACAAGTACCTCCTGTGATGGATGAAGAGAGTGATCCTCGATTTGTACAGACATCAAAAATATTTACGAACACAAATCATCTTGCAAGTGAAGAAAGACTCAGATTTCACAACATACACTTGATGAAAAACCAAGCAGGTACAAGCAGCAGGTAAGAAAGTCCTGGTCTGCTAAAAAAGCCTGATCTGGCGCTCACTAGAGACGGATTCAGGTATCCTACTCCTTATTTGAGTCGTGTTTCCCTTGACAGTAAAGTTCCCTGACAGTCAGACAGCAGATTTGGTCAGGGAGATAAGTGTCAGACGAGCCTCAACATTGATCTATCTCTTTGCTTAGTGCCAAGGGAGACTGGAGTACTGATGGGAATTTCAGCTCTTTTTAGTGATTTGGATCATTTGTCCAAGCTAAGCTAAGCAATAAGATCTGACTCTTCTGGCTCCAAAACAGCTCTTCAGAGTACACATTGCTGATAATAGTGCTTTATTTTGGACTTGTGGATCAGTAAAGGTTGTGAACTAAAGTGGGCCAGTTGGAGCAATGAAACTACCGGGCTGAAAATGGCCCCGCACACCAGAGTCCAAAGGGCTTTCACACCCCAGGCTGCAACAAAATCAGACCAGGGTTTATATAAACATCATTGGTGTGAATGCTACTAAGCTTTTAGCTTATATGCTAAATAATAAACACACTGGCAATGTCATTTCTATAGCAGAAACTCAAATAATAGATGTCAAGTTGCAACTGTAATGATATAGCATTAGTACAACTGGAACCAAGTCTCCTAAAGTTCAAATTCTATTATTCAGTCCTTCAACCTGAGGATGGTGTCAAAGACAAATACAGGTTGAAGTGTCTGTTTTCAATCTGAGAATCATTTTCCATCATTTCAGCAGCTCCAAAAGCAAAGACGACTCTGAATACTTCAAATTCACGTTCATACGCTCAGTCCAGTCAGGAAAAAAAATAAAATGAAACACAATCCTGAAGAAGTCTGACGAGGAGTTTCAAACTTGGAGACTCAGGCTGCTGCTAAACGCTCTGCAGTGAACTTTATGCTAATGGCCTCTGCACTGCTTTGATGTAGCTCCTCGTGTTCTCCTAATTCTCCCAATTAAGCCCCTCTACTCTCCCCGAAGAACAGCAGCGTTACAAAATCAGCTCTTTGTTGTTCTTCTCTAATTTTGCTTGTCTCAGCTGGTGTCTGGCTCGGGGTCAAAGGTCAAATCCACCAAACATTGTTTTAACAGGCCGGGTTAAATCTTTAGTTCAGCTAAATAAAAGTGCTAATCCAGACTGGGATCCCTGAAGCTCCAGGAGGGTCAAAACTAAATGTTCTCAGGAGACAGACGGAAACATCTGCAGGAACTTTTCTCTGCTTTGTCTTCGAGTTCCCGCCGCTGTTACTGAAACAGAGATTCACACAGGATTAGAGCGGCCCCGCGGAGCCCGATGAGTCACTCTCTGAACCTTTTAAACATCAGACTGAAGCCAAATTTAGCCAGGAGAGGATTTAACAAAGATCAAGGAGAGGCTCTGCTTTATGAGATATTGTCTTATCCCCGTTTTAATGTCAAATGATACTTATTTCATCTCTAAGATTGATCTGATACAGAATTGATTTTTCAGATTCAAACTGTAAGTATGTATCTCAGTGTCTCAATGGTGTCTCAAGTGATACCATGAGGAGTCTGTGGAGATCATGGCATCTTAGATCATGCAGCTCACCTTGCAGCTGATGCTTTGATTGACAGATTTGATCAAACCAGAAGTCAAAGAAATGCTCCCTGAATGCTCTACTCCTATCACCTATTACTCTTGAGTTTGGAGTTGGAGCTTGGGGTGTCGGTATCAGACATCATTTGACCTTACTGAGATATTTTCCAAAGTTCCAGGTAGTCACTATAGATGTCTCAACAGGACTGAAGACACTGTCCCTCCACTGGACACCTCCATCACACCTCTGTCTCATGACGTCTGTGTGTCTGTTCAGACTGATGCTGCATTAAAGGCCAGTTGTAACTTGCATTGCTCGAACTGCCTATAAAATAAATCAGATTAGAGCAAAAATCAATCACAATAGATTCACTTTTGAAGGAGAAGCGATAAGTAACCCACTGAGCAATAGACGGCTAATAGACATCTAGTTTTTTTTTAGACCGGATTTCAACTGTCTAGATTCTGTATATTTTTAGATGGAATTTAGATGTTGCATTTTAACCCATTATTCAATAATCAGTTATTTCAAAAAGCAAATGTGAGTTGCATAACTGATCTCCAATTACTTAACCAAAATAATTATGATAGCCATTGAGCAATATACAGTGTAGACCTCTGTTCGCCGGCTAGTCTAAACTTGTTCTAAATTTAAACATCTAAAAAACCTTTGGATCAGTCGTCTAGGCTACATTTAGACGTCTATTAGACCTCTTTTAGGACAAAAAAAATGCTCAGTGGGAAGCTGAGAACTATAGATTTAAATAATGTTCACTGTCAGAGGTCTACATATGCTCTCTATATGAACATCACTCCTCATGTACTAACTGCTTAATATTATGAGTCATCATCTGGTTGTTTAGATGTCTTAGTGGTCTTTAACAAAGAAACAGTTTTCATCCTGTTGAAGTTTTCACACACTGAGCTGAAAAGGAAGAAGAGTCAGGTCACAACACATCACTCACTTTTGATTTTTCTTTCTGTTAAACTCACACACCCTTTACCCCCTCGAGACACCTTTTCATCTTTGGCTGATCTATAAAATCATTTTGAAAATGTTTCCATCAAAGTTATCTTGAATTAGGTTTTTATAACTTTCTCTGGAAAGAAATAAAGATGCCAGGGTGTACCTTCATATCTCTCTGTCACTCTGTGCAGTGTGGAAATGCCCCTGAAGTACCGTTCAGTCCATT